ATCAGATTTTCAGCGAAGCTAGCCTGACCTGCTGTTCTGAGCTGATTTTCTGCCGTGAAAGGATCGTGTCTTCGTGTAATATGGAGAGAAGAGGCATGAAGGGCTGCTTCTGGAGGAAATTAATACTGCAAGATACCCCGGTTTCGTTCTCACCTGGGGTTATGTTGGAGGGCCCCCAGGAGGGATTTCTCCACTTCCTGTTAGAAAGCCGGCCAAAAGCGAGCCTCGCCGGCACCATGAGGGTTCATGTCGCTTTACAGTCTGTTTGCCTTTACCTTCATCACTGCAGTCTGTGTGCGCGCCCACACACACACACACACCGGTTTCCGCAGGACGAATGTTTCTAATTAAGCATGAACTGGCCGGCTGAGATTCTGGAAGAAATGGTAACGTCTCCCACCACGAGACAGAACGATCAGGACCGCCCATGGACGGCCATATCTTTTGCAGTACGACCTTCTTCGGAAACAAGTCCCTCCGAATTCAGTGGGCTTTACTGTCAGCCTAAGATTTTTTTTATTTTATTTTTGATCGAGCTGCCAACTCGCTTCACGAGCCGGAAGTCAGAAATCGATCCATATCCATTCTGATAGGACTTACTTTCCCGCAAAGCCTATTCAGGCCACCGCGAGAGAAAGTCTCCTCCAAAACGAACAGGAAAGAAGGGCGCGGGGAGGGGGGCGGCGAGAATGCGGAGAAGTCATTGGAAACCCAAATGTTTGATGTGTGAAGAAAAGGCGTTACAGACCCTTTAAAATGAGAGAGGGAGAGGGAGAGGGAGAGAAGGAGAATGGGCGCTGGCTACTTGAAGCCGTTTTGCACCCCAAGTGGTTTTCAAACATGGAGAAGAAAACATACAATGGATACATTCCTGCATCTCCGTGACGAGAACGAGCTCGGGGGTGGGGGTGGGGGTGGGGGATCGGAGCCGGGAGCGAGTCCCGGACAAGCTCTGCGGATGTTCGTGCAAGGAGGATTCACTTTGTGTGCTTAAGCAGAGAAGGGCGGAGGGGCTGGCGAGGGCGGCAGTGGGTCCCCCCCCCCCAAATACCACCCAAGATGTTATTCACGGCTCACAATTACCATTATCTGTCCCCACTTGGGCCCAATCAGACAGAATCCGTAATACTGAAGGCCGCTTCCTGCTGGTCTTCGCGGAGGGGTGGGGTGGGGGCTGATTCTCTGGGAGTGAGGAAGGGGGATAAGGGGG